CTATTAAAATATAAATACTGCGAGTTGTTAAGTAATCAAGAAGAATATTTTAGAATAAAGGAAACGCTTTACTGACTAAAAGAAATTAAAGGAACTTAAATGAGATGTGTCTCAAAATCCCACTTACAAATTAAGAAACCTGTTTTCATGATGCCAGAATGTGCAAAGCAGTCGTCAAAATTGAGCGTCGTTAAGATACTTAAATTGTTATGAGGTGCGAAAACGATCGTTCAGCCACGTACAATTTACTCTAAAATATGTGCTAATTTAAATATATATATATATTTTTTTTTTAGAAATTTAGGTTAAAATAAACTAATTTGAGCACGAGAAAATGACTTTACTTTAAGATATTCTTAAGGTATCCGATAAGAACAGAGTACCTTTAGACCCCGACACATTTCAATAAAAAAGAACAATATATTTAGTCCATCCATCAAGCAATTGGGGAAAGAATATCATTGATAGGTAAAAATATTGATCAATGGTTATGAGATAAGCTTTAACTCGCCAGAAAAATACTGATTTTATTATTAATATGGTATGAGTTATAATACTAAAATTGATGGCCAAAACTAGAGAAAATGCTAATATGGTAATGAGAAATAATACATTCTAGAATGTAGTATAAGTATATTGCAGAGCTAGATTAACAATTATTAAGATAAGGGTGGACCGAAAAGAATTTCCGGCTTAATGTAAAATCAGGAATGAAGTACTTGAGAAACTTATTGATAAAATATATAGAGGCAGTACCGGGGTTCCTTTGTCTCAGCGGATTTCTATGTCGGCCCATGAAGCCTGCGCAAAGCTCTTCTTCTTTCACACTGACGGGCATTTGGCCATGGTTCAGACCTGCATGCACTAGATTTGTCGGTTCTGAAAACTTTCGGTTCGCCTCAGTGTGTGCGGCTGTAGTAGCTTCATCTTCTATAGCCCGGTTCTCGGCGTTAGAGCTTCCTGGCTCTCCTGCTGCTCTCAAAGCTACATCGGGAAGCTTGGAAGCTGCTGGCACGATGTCTACAGGCTTGATGCTGGTTAAAATGTTATTAGATCCGCCGCCGCCGCCTTCACCAACAGGCCGCTGAATTCGATTCAAAGTCTCTGCTTCGCCAACTTTCTTTGTAAGTTGAGTATTCCGTAAAATGCCAGTAGTTTTAGATGCAGAGATTTTTTTGAAGTATGCATAACGCAGAGCCTAGTTGTGGAAGAAACGTTAATGTGTCATTGTGTAAAACACAAGCTGAATTAAGATGGATTATGGGTTTGTATAATACTCTGAAGAACTGAGTATTGTATAATCTTTGGAGGAACTGTGAAGTTTGCTTTCATTAAAGGATTAAAACGTCAAACCTAAATGTGAGCCTCAATAAAAATCATGGCCACAAAATGGTATGAATCAGAGAGCACTTGACATCCTAGTAAGAAATAAAATTAATTTCTATCAGAGCCAATGGCTTGCAACATTGTTTTTAAAGAGAAAAGTAAAATTATATTTGCATTTTTAGTTTCTCCACATAGGTGGTAAAAATGGTGCAGAGAAATTGGGAGGCTATACAAGTTGTTCGCATAAATTAATAAATACGCTCGTAATGATATATCATAAACTATGCTAGCGTTAATCAATTAAAAAACACAAAATAAACGAGATAAGAGTCGGGGTGAGAAATGAAAATAAATAAATTTATAAAAAATATAAAGACCGATGATATGACATGTAAGGCAAAATCAATGAGTTAGAAACAAGGAGATAGTGATGGATGTATTAAAAAACTAATCGAATCATGAGTAGGTCATAAAGGAAAAAGCAGCT